GTTTATCTGCTCTCCATCATTCACTGCTTCCTCCTCTTTGCAACCTGGAATAATTTGAAGGACAGCTTGTCTCATTATCTAACTAGTAACCTACAGGTGGGTTGTTGAGTGATTTTCCAGACTCAGGAGGAGGAGGAGGAGGAGGAGGAGGCTGAAGCTGCTAGAATTTCTGAGCTTGCATTAGCTCAGAAATTAGCTACTCTACTGTGGGAGGGAGCAGGGAAATCTAAGCAGAGTTAGGGGAGACTTTTTAGGTAGTGGCCATGGGAGAGGCAGGATCATGGCCTAGCTGGCTGGAGGAGCCAATTTTACTCTTCAAGTTTCTGATTTGCAGCTTTTATTTGCTTGCTTGCTTCTCTTAGAGTTTGGAGATCTGTTGCAGCCAACAAGAGTTCCAGAGGGGAAGCAGCCGTGTTAAATCTGTCACAAAAACTTCATCTGTGGTTCCTGTGGCTTTTTGAAGATTGCTGGCTTTCTAGAGGTATCAGCTTTCATGATAAAAAGTTATTGTGGGCTTTTTTTTAAATAGCCTGTCTGACCAAATGGAACATGAAAGTTGATACCATTATAACACTTCTAACGAACATGGATGCTGAGCGGCAGAAGAATGCAGTACTGTACTGATTTAAAAAGAAAAGGTGGGGAGGGAAGAATGGGAATACATGCCACTCTACGCTTGTCTTTTCAAGTCATGTGTCACCTAGATATTGGGAATTCACGGAGGTGTAATCTTCATTATATCTGCAGCACTTGACTTTGGTTGGTGTTCTGTGTATTGGTTTAGAAGCGAACCCACTATGTTGGTCCGCATCCATGCATGTTCTTTCTTGAAATAAGTATTGGGTTGTGTGTGGCTTCTTTTGGGTTTGATTTAACATGTGCAAACCCAATCATTTTGGTTTGTAAGCCACAGTTTATGGAGAAGCATATTATGTGAACCTAGCCAGTTTATTCAGGAAACCATAATGGAGCACAGTCTTCACATCTTCAGATGGGCTAGATCTGTGCAGGCAATCTTTTGATGGCAGAAAATCACACGACGTTTGGGAAGAGGTCAAGGGAAGTAGTGGGAAAGGTATAATACAGCGGGCCCACCTTGGATTGAATTTTCTTGTCCTACATTTTGAAAAGGCAGTTTTGGTGATTCTTGGGTTATTAAAATCATGTTAAGCCTTCTTTTAGGGCTTATGTAGTGCCATTGTTTTCAGCCTCAAAATGCTGAAAATGATTGAGGTGGTTTTCTCCTAGTCACAGAGCTTAGGAAAGGGAACAGAAAGGGAGCTTGGGAGTTGTCTATCACCTTGAGTCCGTAGGTTGCCCAACCCTCAGTTAAATGTTTTTTCTGATCCCCTTTTTGTTATTGTGAATTTATAGCAGGATCCCAAGTGTTTTATAGCATCTTCTAACACCATCCAGCCATGAAGCTTGTCCTCATTACTATTATTTTGGGACAAAGGAAGTTATGAGTAAGAGTTTCATATAGCTTTGAGCTAGATTTTTCCCCTGCATCTTTGGGGTCTGTTGGAGGAAGCTAATGATTGCTTGGATCAGACACATCCAATTACATAGCAAAGGGAGGGGCCAATTCAACATTTCTTTATTTTAATAAAGCATTGCACCTCCATAAGTCTATCCAGAAATGGTGGATTAGTAGTGGGGTTTCTTTGCTGCTCTTCTCACTGCCCCTGGTGTTGAAGTTCATGCAGATATATGAGGGATATGCAGTTTGGTCATGACCGTATGTTGAAATACTGCTGCCAGTCAAAGCAGATTATTTTAAGCCAGATGGGCAAAGAGTATGACCTAGTAATAGGCACCTTCTTACGTCCTTATGTAGCAAACAGTAAAATTTCTGCAAAATGTGACTGGTTTTGGCAGGTGGTTCATAGTAAAGTTATCAAATCTACCTTACCTGCTATTGTTTCCGTTCCAAAGGCTAGGTTGGTACCAACTGCTAGTAGAATTTAGGGACATAGGAAGAGCCTACTTTATACTCCTTGTGTTCACACATCACATTATATCATGTGTGAACCCAGAATAATGGGTGAACCTAGTCTTTATTGCTATAAGGTCTAGCCTGATGTATGAATTAGGTCATTATTCCTACAAGCCATAGCTTAGAGTTAGTTTATAGTGGTAAAGTCTATCTTTACTGTTAGGGTTGTGCAATGCTTTGGATTTAGTGGAAAGAAATGTTTTAGATCACACAGTAACATGAATGCGGCAGCTAAGCCTATTTCCAGGATTACAGTTGTGTGATTGGAAACAGATATAGTTGTTTTAATGAGCCACGAGCAAGTGCTGTACTTGGGCTCCCATGTGAACTGAAATATTTCTTCCTAATAAAATTTGAAACATTGCGCAGTACTTAACATTAGTTACATTGCTAAGCATCAGCTCTCCAGGATTTCAAATATGGTATTTTCCAGCTGTATACCTGTATCTTTCATATCAAAATCATATCTTTTCCCAGTGGCTGAGTAAATATATGTTCCATATTGTTAACTTCTAAGCTTAAGGTTAAAAAATTCTGCATCTTTTTAATATTTGCTTTTTTCCTTTGTCATAAATTAAAGTTTATGTTTCTATACTTAATGATACCTTTAATGTAAAATCTCCTAAATGCTCTGGAAAAGTAAATATGTTAATGTTAAGTGTGTTTTTTCCCACCTTGTAAAAACTAGAGAGTTTTGGGTTCCAGAACCAATTTTTTAATGTGTATACAGTATTGAATTTTTCTGTCTGCTTTCTAGTATGTGAAGGAGAGAAGGAAAATGAAACTTAGATCTGTTCCAATTTCATAAAACCTTAGGGAATATGCTGGCTGTAAAATTGTCTGGGACATTGAATTCACAAGCAGTCTACAAGATGGTTTTCATATTATGGATCAAAGAAATAGGGGAAAGGAATTATGGAATAGAAATCTGCTCAGGGTTGTTCAGTCATAATCAAACTTTAGCCTGGCAAAGAGAGGACTGTTCCCCTCCCCAAGATGTGTTCCCCCAGGTTTTCAGATGGTACTGCAGCCATGACATCAAGGTCTAGGAGGCTGAGGGGCAAAGTTCCTCCATGACAACTTGCCTTTTCCAGAGCCCTGCTCTAAAGGTGGCTGGACATGTCTTTACCTGAGGCTGGACTTCAGGAACAAGTTAGGAATTCTGCTGGTATCACCTAGTAATACTGTAATATATTATAATACCGGCTTGAATTGTCTTTCCTAAAACCAATGACTTTATTTCCAGAGGATGATCATAAATTACAATGGACCAGTGTAACACTTTGCAACTAGATGAACCATTGATCAGGGTATTAATACAAAGATGAGCATGGGTCACACAGGGTTGAAAAAACGGTATATTCCTATTTAGCTCAATTTAGTTTATTTGGATGTCAGCTAAGTACAATTCCTGCATTCTTGCAAGGAGAGCACACCAGTTCTCTGATTGCATTTTTAACAATTTATTTATTCTGATTCAAACATTGATCCCAAATGAAAAAGATTTCCAAGCAATTGTATATTTATCAGCTAGGACCTACTGGACCATAAACATTTATCCAGGCCATCCTGTCTCCCCTTATAAACCACCAAAAGCATATAATACCCACCAGCATCCAACATTCCTTGCTCAGGTATAAAACCTAGGGATCTATATATTGTATTCTCACCCCTGTCACACGTTTAAAATTTCCCCTGACTTAAATCTGATCCACTTACTTGCTGGGCAGAAGATGTAGGGAGGCTGTCCGGGTCCCACCAACATATGATGCAGCTGTGACCACGGCTTCCCCTTTGGGCACTGCTTCATCTGCTGTGGCCCTGAGCCTATGCCTTGCCCCTTCTTGCTACACAAACAGAGTGAACACACAAATGACTGCCACTCTGGACTTTGGAAATATAGAAAAGACACATAGCTTAGTGACAGAGAGCATGCTATGGATGCAAGGGACTTAGCTTCATTCCCTGGTACCTCCCCTTTAAAAAAAAGGATCAGGAATGGATGGTATGGGAGCCCAGAGAATTGTTATTGCCAGTTGTTTTAAGGCTGCCTTGCTGCTACACCCCTGTAGGTGTTTGTTTTATTAAGTAGGATGTCTGTCGATTTCCTGTCGGTCATGGACCCCTTGAGACTCCTAACTCTTATAATTAAAGATATAAGTCAGACAGTGTTAACTAGCATTCAGGAGTAATATTTTTATTTATTTAATTCTGGGTGGCATGCAAGAAAAGAAGGGATTAGAAACAGAAAACAATAATATAAGAATATAATATAAGAAATAGATACATAAGCCTGCATGGGGAAACAGCGATATCATAAAACAATCAGTGAACAAGATGACAATCACTCTGGCCCAGGGCCTGCTGGGAAAGCCAAGTTTTTATTAGTCTTCCGAAGACCAGCCAGGTTGGGGACATGCAGATTTCTAGGGGATGCGATTCCACAAGGTGGGGCAGCCACGGAGAAGGCACATCTCTGGCATTCTGCAAGATAGTATTGTCTCACAAATGGTATCTGGAGCATGCTGACCCTGTGAGATCCTAGTGGACAAGCAGAAACCATTGGAGAGATGTGGTCCTCTAGGTATCCAGGCTTATCGGATACATCATCCCTATCCCCAAATTGTTTTCTTAACGGTGTAGAATAGAGGAAGAATTACCCGGTACCTTAACATTCCATCTCTATTCTGCTAAAGTTATGTACAAAAAGGGGTTAAGGTTGGAATAGTCAAAGGCCACTTCCTTTGGGACCATCTATACCATGGGTCCCCAAACTCTTCAACTCATCGACCCCTTCATGAAGTTACAGATTATTCACCAACCCCCTAAACATTATATGAAAATAATTTAATACCACTTTAACTAATATTTTATTAGAAATAAAATTAGAAATAAAATTATATATAAAAATAATAATATTGCCCCCCTGGGTAGTCACATTGAGCCTTGGGGGTTGATATTGACCACTTTGGGGAGCCCTGGTCTATGCTAATTACCCCTAATATTATTTCCAGTGGCTCTGAAACGTTCTGTCCTTTAGATATAGATATATAGATAATATAAATTCTGCCTGTTGTTCATCTGTCTCTCTCTCCCTTCCCCCTTGTTTTTGTCTGCCTTTATCCCATTTTTCCAATTAACTTTTTATGTTTGCAGATGTTTAATAAATAAACATCTAGCTATGTTTTTGCTAGCTTAACTGAGTGACATGTGTGCTTGCTCTGATTTGGACATAGGGACTGACTAGGAGTATGCTGGATGCAAATTAAACTTAAATTACCCATGGTAATTTTCCAACAGCCTCAAGCCAGGAATAATAAGCTAGGGGTACTGGAAAATAAATTGTATTTTCTTGGATGGAATATGCAAAATGTAGGGTATATTAATTTATTTTTCCCCTTATGCCTGAAACAAAAAGGATAGAAAGTTGACTGGGTTTTCTAGTGAATGGTATCTGGCAATATCTACCTTTCTAGCTCCTTTGCAGCTTAAACGGCAATGAGAGATAGAGCAGGATGTTCCCACGATCACAAAATAAAATAGGGGAAGAGTCATATGTTAGCAGTTTCAGATCCAATAACATTTCAGGGTTGTACAGATCAACACCAGCACCTTGAATTTGTCAAAGAAACAAACTCCTTTTGGATATACCAAAACAGATGATTAATCTGTGATCTTCCAGAAGATTGGCAGACTAAGTTATGGTCCCCAATGCCTTGGAAGGGGACTTAAGTGACCTTGCCTGGTTGTGTGATGTTCTCAGGAAAGATGGGGAGGTTGCCAGACTTCATCCTCCATAGAGGCCCTGGGAAGTAGAAGAACAATTCTTAGAAGGAAACACCTGAATCACTGAAAGCACTTCCTACATGTGTTGATCTGAAAACTGTTGTTTAAAAGAAAATACACAGTTAGATCTTAGGTCAGCAAAACAGGAAGTAGTTCAAGCTCACCTCTGCAGTTATGACTCCCAAAAAAGGTAAAGTCTCAAGGCAGCCTCAACTCCAGATGATTTCATGGACATGTCTGGTTGGTCTTCTTGGCAGCAACATGGAAGTGATTTGCCATTTTTTTCTTCTAGGATGTTAGTTTTTTTTTTTTTTTTTTTTAACTTTCTGGTCTGTCCTATAGTATTGGAATTTCCTGGTGGTTTCTAATCAAAATGCTCACAGGTCAGACCCTGATAAGCTTTTTGAAATCAGCCAAAGACAGCTATAGAGGATCATAGCAAGATGTTTTATGCCAGGTCACTGTATTGTCCATCAAGTTCAGTGTTGCTTGCTTTGGCTGGCAGCAGCTCTCCAGGGTCTCATGGAGAAAAGGATCTTTCCAATTCCTTGCCATGAGCATTTTTTGCCAGGGATGATCTTCCCACATCCACCTATCTGAGCACACCTGTACCTTCACACACACTAAAATACATTGACAGTAAGTGGATTAGGTCATTCTCAAATTCTTCCAGTCTAGTAAACAAAATCAGAGCACTTAGGTACCCAAGGGTCTGCTTTTTATTTCTCCACACTGATTCTTGCCTGATTGGAGCAATTGACTGTTACACTCCAAGGATGATAAAAGCCCTCTGCAGGCTGAGTGCTCCTGTTTAGCAACAGCATACAGGAAAAAAGATGGAGGGAAACAAAATCCTCAAAAGACATCAACTTAACAGTTTGCTCTCTAGTGTGCTGCATGGCAAGATGGAGCCCTTATGTACTAATAGCATTGCACGTGAGCCATTTTTTCAGGGGTCACCAAGAGAACCGTTGCCCCAAGAGCCCTGTGTCACTCTCTGCTACGTCCAGGTTAGCAGTTCTTTTCTTGCTGTGTTGCTCTTGAAGACAGTGGGGAAGAGAGCAAGGAAGAGCCAGCTGCATTTGGCTGCTGAAAAATGGCAATTGTTGAGCTTCTCATTTCAAAAAGAACATTCTGTTCTCCAGTTCTGGTGCCCCAGTTCTCTAAATACAATAATTGAAATAATTGGTAAAAGCGCTACACTTTCTAAATTGTCAGTTCTGTTTTCTGCTTCTCATATCTTCCTGATGAGTCTTTCTTGGCCTGAATCTTCTACCAGTTTTTTTTAGAATTTCAGTCCTACCAATGAGCCATTTTTATGGCTGTACAGGCAACCTGTGCACTCTGTGGCTGAACCGTACTCTCAACATTGCTCAGCCCATGTACTAAGTTGGGGGTGGCCAATGTGGGCCCATAAATACCAGTATCCCTGTGACAATGCCCTCGATGCCTGCCAGATTTCCTTGTCCTAATTTGTATTAATTTTTAAAGTCTTGTAATTAGAAAAACAAAGAAAAAGCAAGTGGAGAATAAAACAGGCTGGAAACCCAAGTGTAAATACCATCTATATTTCCAAGAATATCACTGGGCCTTACTTAAGCTCCATAGGTTTGCTTTAAGAATAAAAACAATGTGTACTTGCAGCTTGCTACCTTGCTTGAAAATATGTCTACCTGGCTGCATGTAAAGAAATATGGAGCTGACCTTGGAGAAGGAAGGAGGGAACCATTAGGGAGGAACTTACAGAAGAGATTACACAGTAATCCTGAGAAAGAGGGAAGAGTGAGGGGAAAAAAATAACCCCACCTTGATTTTGTTTAGTATAAGATGGGATAGAGAGAAACTTAACAGGCTTTTAAAATTCTGTTATTCTACCTTACACAATAAAAAGCATTCCTGGAATTCCTGCCAAGGCTATTTCTTGACCTGGCCTACTTTAAAGGGGTGACATAGGAAAGGAGGCAGAAATCAACTGGGCAGAGGAAAACATCTGTACAACAGATTTGTCTTTCAGGAAATCTGATTGGCTGCACCCTTTGTAGTCCCCATTTGGGAGAGTGCTTGTAGTATGTTCTCAAAATGCAAAATTTACTCACTCACTGAAAACGTTTACCCGGACAAAGTTATGCAAAATTTTACTGGACATCTATCCACACAGGCTTTGATCAGATTGGGTTTGTTTTATTGTAGATGCTTCTATGCCTCTTCAATTAAATACAAAAATCAGTTTATAAAAGCTAACTTCACAATTATACATAATGTCAGATATATACATACAAAAAATCCGTAAATAAATCCACAAATTTAAAAAGCCAACTATAATAACTTTGCTATTTTTAGATAAAAGGCAGGTGGGAGGGAAGGGTTTGGATTCAATTTTGCTTGCTTATCCAGATAATTCTTATTCACCATAAGCATGCAGGCAAATGATTTTTCTCAGGCATGTTATTATTCAGTCTATCTGTACTGATCCCACAGCAATATTCTTGATACCTGTCTTTCTGTCTATTCATTTGAAAACTCTGCCTTTTATTGTCACTTCTGCTATCATAACTGTTCATGCTTTATGGATTATTTTAATTACACATACTTAATTTGTCCTCATCTGAAAGCATCTTTTGGATTTTTTAAATTGACCATTCTTTGTCATGATGCTATTGTCATATGTTCACAATTTTGTTTTTTTAAAAATCAGACCTTTATTCAGACCTTTGCATCTGCCGAACTTACCTTAGTTTACTTTTGCTTTACTTTCCACCTTCAATTTTGGGAATAAAGGCTCCCTCTTTTTAATGCAGCTTTCAGATGAATAAGCAAGCCAGCACTGGTTACCTTTAAGAAAGAAAGAAAAAAAGAAAGATAAAAAGGGACAATTTCCTGTACTGGTTCTGAAATCTGATTCTCAGCATTCTCTAAGTCAGTGCTTCTCTACCTTGGCAATTTTAAGACATATGAACTTCAAGTCCCAGAATTCCCCAGCCAGCAAGTTGGCTAGGGAATTCTGGGAGTTGAAGTCCACATGTCTTAAAATTGCCAAGGTTGAGAAATATTGCTCTAAGTAAAGCCTGTTAGAGGTGGAATTGGGTGCGATTTGTCCCAGTGGCAGAATGTCAAGGCAACCAAGGTGCTGTTGGAATTGCCCTGCACTTTCCCCAAACAGGAAGGGAAGGGTGTTTTTTGGTTTACAGGGTGCATGTCTTTTATGCCGTGGATGAGCTGCTTCGTGCAAGTTATGTTGAGATTAGCTACTCAATTTGTTCAGTGTATATCCCTTTCTCTGATAAGGTTGTATTCCAAATGACATGGAAAGATGGTAGTTCCCCATCCCTTCCTGCACAGAAAAATGGATGATGTAAGATGGCCCCATCCTCTAATCCAGGACTGGATTGTATGGATCCAGCTGCAAGACTAGGTTTAGTTCTCCACCCCTATTTTGCTCTTTGAGATTGCTAAGATGGTTCCCATTTTGGGCATACCTCTAGGATTCTCTTGTAGTAGAGCAAACGTATCTTGCTTTGTCTTGGCAGCAGTACAGTAATGTGCTTTGGGGTGGGGGGGAATCCAATGCTTTGCTTTTCTGTACGAATAATTATTCCAACCCACTTTGCCAACAATGCAAATGCTCGTGGGTCACATTGGGAAGGGTGATATAAAATCAGTGGTGCCATATGTGAACTGAGCCTTGTCATTTTGTTTCTAGAGGGTTTGGTTTTAGGAAGGGTTGGGATTTTTCCTTAATTTCTAAACTAGTCTATGCTAGTTTATGTCACGTGACATTCTGTGCATTTTCTAGCACAGAACGATGGGAAACTGAAATTTGGGGATACAGTCAGAGGTGCCCTAGGAGTTGCCAGCAAAGGTCCCAGGAAGTTGCCCATCTTGTTTAACAGGAGCCTGTTGTCTTTTTATTCCAGCATGTGGGACTTTCATATTCTTTCAGCATCTCACCTCTCTCCAGGAAGTCACCTTTTGTGAGCAGTCCCAAAACGCAGTTGGATCTTATGCCTCTCTCCCTTCTACCCTGACTCCACAGCCTGAGCTGGTGGAGTCCAAAAGTGGCTCCAGAGCTTCATTTTGTAAATTGATTCTCTGCAGACTGTTTCTCCTTCTGCCATGGTTCTTGATATGTTTTGTCAATGGCCAAATGTGCTTTGTCGTTCAGTGGAGCTGCTGAGACTCATTTAGAACTTCAAAATGCATTTAATGTGTTTATTATAATAAAGTAATGGCTCACGCAGGCATCAAAGCAGCTAAATAAAGGTTGCAATCCCAAGTGGCAGTGGTTATAGATGAATTACTGTAATTATCCTCTGTTAAATCAACTTCCCAAGCTCTGAAACATCTATTTTCATGTTTTTATGCTATCAGTCTGCTTACAGTGTCTTGGCAGGTGGCAGCGCCTGGCTGACCTTGTTTGGATTCAAAAGCGAAGTAGCATCAGGCCTGATTAGGACTTGGATGGGAGACCTCCAGGGAATCCCAGAGCCGTAGGCTACATTTGGAAGTCGAAAAATCTTTTAGAAGAAAATAGTGGAAAATCACCTTTGTACTGTTACCAAGAAAACTGTGGTTATTTCTGTGTAGCCATTAGGCACAATGTGGAGGTTTCATCTGCTGCTTTGCTCAGTCCTTGAGGTGCCACCAATGGGCTCCAGAACCTCAACAAACTGCACTGTAGGAATCAGTGTTTCCCAATCTGATGACATCTAGATTATTTTTAACTTATTTTTTTCACTACAGTATACCACTCTTTCTGTTGAAGGAACCGTGAATGATGTACAAACAAAAAAAAATCCAACAATCAGAACCATCTTAAATAAAGCCATCCTCAGTAAAACCAACAATCCTGAAAAAAAATTAAAATAAGGTTCCTTTTAAAAATGGTCTGAAAGGCAGTCCTGGAGCAGTTGTTATCCTACAAATGCCTAATTGAGCAGGCAATCTTCAGCAGTGGCAGGAGGCACCAGTTGCAACTCCCAGAATCCCTAGCCAACACGGCTTCCAAACCTGCAGTCCTCGCCAGATGGAGGCATAGCATTTCATTACAGTTGATGTGCTTCAAGACTTTAGGCATGTTCTGCTTCATGCCCAGGCTTGGCTTAGTTGATTTGGATTTGTTATATTTTGAAGGAAAATGAAATACAGAACAGCAATGCTCTCCCAACCATGACATCTAGAATTCTTGTTCCACAGCTCCTGTGTCCTGCTGAGATGTCCTCAGACATTGGATGCAACAACAGATACATTTCTAGCATAATTTTGGAGATATGGATTTCAGTGTATTTGAAGTATACTCTAAAGCTGTAAATTATTTTACATAAGAATCTTCTGGCTATACATTTTGAATGAGTAAGACCTTAATCTAAAAAGTGTTTCATTTATTCCAAAAGAAGATGTATTTTGTAGATATTTTTTTTAAGTGCATATGGACAAAACTCCCCCATTTTCCCCTGAATATTTCTAGCTCCATTTTCTTCTACAACCCTTTCCCACCCCAGACCTTCACTACTATGGAATCACTGCCCAACATTGTGTTTGTTAGAACAGACAAAATCTCAATTACAGACTTCTTGGATAGTACAATTGACAAATTACATTAGGAGCTGTGGTCTCCCTGTCTCATGTCCAGTTGTTTCCGGAGAACAAGCTAAAAAAATTGACGCACAAAGAATCTTGGATATAGAAGCACAGAAAGATATAGCCACCCTTAGTAAAGTTGGCTCACTGAAATGGATGAGCTGTAATAAACGTACCTTCCAAATTGCCAAGTATTTAAACACAGAAATGCCCAAATATCTTAGGGTAGTATTTACTCAAGCAAGATTTGAGCAGTTGGACACAATGGTTAAATATGGAAGATTTAACCAAGTCCCCTATAATGAACGCACTTGTATTTGTGGAGCTCCAGAGATAGAAGATATAACACATATATTATTGGAATGTCAACTGTATAAAAAAGAGAGGGATCAGTATCTTGGGCCGCACATTA